ATTCTTTTTCAGTGTACTCAGGTAGTAGCTAGTGAGTTCTTTCAGGATCCAAGGGTGAGAGCTAGCTAGGAATGATGTGGTGCAAGTGGTATCATTTTGCTCTTCCCTTGGAGAAATCGAGCCAATTGCCAGTTTAGGGAAACTTGAGTTGCTGCCTTCTGTGCATTTGGAACTTGTTGTAATCTATGACACCTGTGATTCAACTAGTCTCATGAGTAAGGAGTAATAAATTACTTCCCCAATGACGGTTTAAAATCAGATACTCCCCAAATCTTAGGAGCAAGAGTGGGTTGTGACTGTTCTAGCTATTGCATTAACTTTATCTTGTCTGTGAAGGTGTTTTTCTTATTATCTGAACTCAGTGTTCCCTGTCACTTTCATGGTACAAGTGAGTGCTGCTACCTCCAGGTTTAGCTGTCACTTGTAGTCTCTGTGATTGCTGTGCTGCTGGTCTTGTGTTTTGCCTGTATCTGGTTGTCATCCAGATTCTCTCAGTTCATGTTTTATCTTTCTTGTTTGTTTTCCTTCCCTCTGACTATCTACTTTACTTTATTTTTGCTGTGGTTTAGCTGCTTATCTTTGCAATATAATTCCCATCTTTTACCACCCCCTTGTGTTTTCTGATGACAACTAGTTTGTTTCATTTGTTTTTTGCAGGGCTTCATCTGAACCGTGTGTCATCACACAAAGGGTACTCCAATAGGTGATCTTTCATTTTCAAGCAAAGTGAGAAATCACTCATCAGGATTTATCTGTCTGAATTTTCTTGAACATTTCTTTCATAGATGAAGTGGCAAATAAAAGGTTACAGCCTTGTTTTTTTCTGTAGAAGAAATAATTTGAGTACCTTAGTTTAACTTCGTCACTGAATCCATATGACCTTCTATATGACCTGTATTCAGATAAAATATTTTTGATTGCTGTGCTTCCTTATACACAGACCTGTCCTTTGCATGTGTCTCTGCTTTGTTCAGAGTAATTTCAAGCCATTTGCCTTCTTTGAAGGCTCAAGGAACACTCAACTCTTCCATAATCTTTTCCAGATCATTCTTCTTAACTGTGTGGGACCATATCCTGTCTCCTTTTTTGAGCAGAAGCTGAGTGTTTCAGTTCTCTGTTCCATTTCACACAAGAGCACATGGCTGGCGCTCTGTAGTCAGATAGTGCAAGTTTATTGAGTGATATTTTCACCATGTTTTATTCTTGTTACTATTTTTGGAGTCTCCACTTGGTATGGCTGTATTTATTTTACCTTTACAAGTGAGATTGGATTACTTGAGAATACTCATATGATCCATCCTCACTTCACTGTTTCTAGTTAAGTCTTACTCTGCTGTAGAAAATTATTCAGAAATATTGTTCCTTTCATTGACTGAACTCCGATATGATAGTGAGCTGACTGTTTACTACTGTGCTAGAGATGATTTAAGTAGTGAATATGAAATTAAACATATTCTAAGTCTGCTATTACCACTTGCGTGCTGTTAGAGAAAGTGTACTGAATGAGGTATTCCATGTTAAATGGGAGACAGTTACAGTTTTGTCAAATGACCTACCAACTTTCCTGGTTGGAAATGTTACATTTGTGAATCCCTGTACTCTGTATTTTGACTTCTCTAGATTTTGTTCTACTATTTAATGAACTCTGTGCATGAGTGATGGGCAACTAAGAAACTGGGTTCTTGAATAAAACAAAATGTAAAACTGTAGGAGAAGAATGAAGGATTGGAAAGACAGTGAATTATCAAAGATGGCTCCAAGAGGAAAGTTGAGGAACTAAATCTTAGCATTAGTTTTTCCCCTTGTTACCCAAGGGTTCTGTAAACTTGAGCACTCATGCCTTGATATGCGTGAGTAAACACGTACAAAACGTCCTGATGCCTTGGGGAGAATGCAATCAAAAGTATTTCCGTCAGTGCTGTCCTGGTCTTTCCCTTGGCTCTACAACTCTGTTGAAGGGCAACAGCTTCCCATCCTGCTTGTGTGCCAGCTCTCTGCCTGCCATGTCTTCTCTTCCATCTTGTGCCATCTCTTACAAACTGGCCAGTCAGCACGTTAAGGCTTTGCGGGAGACACAGTAGTTTTGCCGACGATGTTTGTGAATTTGTGTATGCTGCTGTTTCCTTGACTTGGAATATTTTTTTTGTCCAGAGTGTCATGGTGTGTTTTCTGGGGTTTCTGGAGTTTTTCCATGGACTGTATAGTTATTTTTCCTTTGTTCATCTTCTGTTTACTATGAAATGCCCCGAGTAGACATTCTTGACCTTTTAGTAACCAGACTGATGATTTCTGTGGCTCTTCCAGAGTCTTGCTAATAGATTCATACATACAGCAATTGTAAGCATTTGCTTTACAGCAAATGTATTCAAAGCAGTTGATTTAGTGTTTCAAGATAAAGTGGCCCTTGTACTGGAACTGCATATAAAATCTGTGCAGATTTTGTCTCCTGTTGAAATGAGGAGATACCCATTATATACACCATATGTACTGGATCTTCTAAGCCACCCTTTTCAAGGCCAGGTTTGGGTCTGGTTATTGCTATGCTTTAGTAGTCATGGCAGAGTTATCTAAGGCTCAAGCATCATTTTTTTACTAGATGTCCTTTTAATAGTATTAATAATCCATTGGACTTGATGGTTTGGTTTTAATTATTAATTCTCATTCATTTTAAGGATGACACCTGTGTAGTGAGAATTATTGTGTGTTGTAGTGGAATACAAAACGTGTGTTAAGTTTAAAAAAGCCCTGCTGTATTTACTTGTAAAAGTGGATCCATTCTGGTTAAGTATTTTGTCCCACTCAAAACTATTTTCATGCCATTTGCTCTCCTTGCTTCTTGACCTTCAGGTCTGCACTTCTGTGATGTATAAAGTGTGAGCCTTTTGTACAACCTTGATGACTTTCGTGTTGTAATTTAAGCAAGTTCTAAATCAATACAGTTCTTGAAACAGTAAAATTACAAACTACTTTTGAAGATACAAAGTCCATCCAAAGTTTGTTAGGGTGAAATATTTGAAATTATTAGCAGAAATGTTGGAAATGTCATTATTATCCCACTAGTGCTTGGAAGGTTTAGCATTCATTATTACAAGATGAAAGCTCTGGTAGGTTGAAAATAGTCATTTGTAAATGTAATCTTTTTTTTTCTTGTTGTAGTTCCCACCCGCTCATTCACCCCTGCACTTCAACCTCGGACTGATTTCCTATCCTGAGTTCATGGGAATTAGGAACAAGGGTAGCTGTTGTCGTAGCCATTGTAAAAGCCTTAAAAAAAAAAAAAGAGAGGCAGGAGGAAGGCTGGAGAGGGCGAAGGAACAAGGAACAGTTGTATTGATTTCTTGTTCTTCTCATTTAAGGCAAATATTAAAAGTACTTTGGTTCAGAATGCTGCAATTTTCCATATTTCTAGCTTCTGTCATCTTTCAAAATGTGCTCTTTTTTTTTTTTTTTT